AGTGTGTAGTCTCCCCCAGTCCTGGCTAAAAGGGGGAGTTTTGTAGATTCATTAATTTTTATTTGTTTTCCGTCAATTGCACATTGAAGAAACAGAAAAAGTAAATTTCAAAAAGTAAAACTTTAGCAAAATATTTGCACCCTTATTCTTATATAATTTCAACTTGTAATGCAGCGGGCCTCGAGGAAGGGAAGGCCAAACGGCCATGAACCCTGTAGAAAATCTCCCAACCCTGTAAGAAGCAAAAAAGTGTTATTAATGGGGAAATTGCATAATTTCTCTATTTTTTTCAACATATGGCACAGGAGAAAAGCATCTTTGATCTTATTCACGTTGCCTTATTATATGTTTATTTTGTATTACTATTTTAGGCTAAAACCTTAAAATGGACCTGAGCAACAAAGCACAATTCTTTTAGAATTTCAATGATATTTTTCATGAAAAGACATTAATTGTAAACTTTAATTCAGTATTTTTTTTAAAAAAGAGTATATTGTTCATGTCCATGTCTTGAAAAGGTTTAAATACCCCTCCATAAACAAGCTGCCCCCCATCCTCCCAATTTACACAAAAGTTTGTTAATTAGATAGACCCCCAACACCACTTTATACACATACATCTAAACAGTTTGTTTTTAATCTTGGTGACAGAAACAATCTCAAGGAATAATAATTGTCTTAAAGCATTTTTTAAACAGTAAATATTTTTAAATTATCTTTTTCCATCTCATGATCTGAGTTTGTCTCCCTCTTTTGTCCATTTCACAGCCCCAAATTTGTTTTTTATTAATCTTTTTGGTTTGTTATTTTCTTGTGGTTTTTAACAAAATCTTTTTTTATAGATTTTGATGGTTATTATATCAATAGATATAATGTAATAATAGAATAAATGTGGAACTAACATCTAATTTATTTACTCTATTGAGGTTATGTCCATCATCAAATTTTAAAGACATTAATCTTTTTTAATGTAGTCCACCACTTTTTAATTCCCCTCATGAAAAGACAGTTTTATTCCAAAATATGATTTTTTCCTGTGTTCCTTTTAAAAGTGACATGCTCTAGAATTATGTTAACTAGTAACTACACATTTAAGAAGTATAAACATTGAAATAGAATGGTATTTTGCATTTATTAAGTTGTACGGCCTTTTAATTATTTTGTACCATTGTAAGTTACTTTCAATTAGAAATATATAATATTTTACTAATTTTAGGGAGTTAAATTGAAAAGTGTACACACAAATGTCTTAACATCATTCAACTTTTATTCTAGCATTAAGGCAAAAGAATGTGGGGAAATATTAGAAGAAAGGGGGGGGGGACTTGTGTGAAATTAAATGTGCAAAAGGGGAGGGGTAAGATTTTATTCTGTTCCTCTTCCTATACCATATCATTCTTACTTTCCCATTCTCTCTCCCATTCTCTCCTTCCTCATTCCTTTAACCTTCCCTTCCCATTTCTTAGGCCTTTTCTCATTTCCTTTTTGTCCTAATCCCCAGACGTTTATTTTGTATAGCTAATATATTCTAAATTTATATACTAAGAACATTTCAATCCCTCCCCTTTTTCATGGCCTTTACCTATATTTTATTCCCTTTCCTACCCCCATCCTCCTTGACTACCCTTTCCATTATCTTCCCACTTTCCTTCTTTTCCCCTTTCCCATTCCGCCTTTCCTTTCCACATTCCCCTCCCCTTTTCCTTCCTTTCATTTTCCCCCTTTCTCCTTTTCATTTTCTTTTCCACTTCTTACCCCTCCCCTTCTCCCTTCTACTGTCCCCTTCCTATTTCCCATCCCCATTCCCCATTTGCCCTATTTCCTTTCCCACTTTTCCTTCCCCTTTTTATTTCCCCTTTTCTATACCCTTTTATCCTTTCATTTCCCCTTTTCTTTTTCATTTCCATTTCCCGTCCCCTTTCCTGTTTTCCGTATTTTCCTCCCCCTTTCCCCACTCCCTTTTATAAAGATATTTCTATGAGTAGTGTCAATGAAATTCAGACTTGAGATCCACCCTTTTTATGGGAAAACAAAATTTGAAGAAAAAGGTGATCAAAACAATAATGAAATTGATTATAATATTTATATGTTGAGAAAGTTCAATAATTATTGTTAGTTAACAGGTAATTTTAATATTTAATGACGTTAATTTCAAAAACCTTCCTCCACAGGGTTCGAAGACTTTCCACAGGGGTTGGAGTCTTTCCACAGGGTTTGGAGACTTTCCACAGGCTTCGGAGACTTTCCATGGGGTTTGGAGACCACTCTATACAGGGTTCAGAGAATTTCCACGGGTTCATGGCCGCTTGGCCTTCCTCCTCTCGTGGGCCGCCTGGCGTGTTGAGAAGAGAATTAAAATTTAATTCAATTTAATCAAACATGTTTGGTTTAAACGATAATCAATATATAAAAAAATGTTTTTCTTTCATTTATAGTATGAATGTTCAATGGTCAAAGATGTAGTATAAAGGAAATTAAAAACAGGTTTTCTTCTGCCAAGTGCTCAGGGTCGAGCCCATACAAGGTCGGGCCAGAGGGAGGGTTGGCAATCAGGGGTGGATACAGGATTTATGTGAGGGGGGTGCTAGAATAATTTCTGTTCAAAAATCGTGAATTAGGAACAAAAATATCGCCGCTGGCGAAATTTTTTTTACTTAAAAGGCTCAAAAAAAAAAAAATTAATGACTAAAGACTAAAAACTAGATTTTTAACTTATCACATGCATTATAGTTTATAATGAAGATATAGGAGTTACTTTACAATGACATTATAAGAAGTAAGAAGAGTAACGTTCCTCATAATTTACTGGGATTGGGGTTATTTAACCCCCGCCCCCCCCCCCCCTAGAATCTTGGAGGTATATTTACTCCTGAACTATTCAGGACCTGAATAGCGAGTTGAATTACTTTGTTTTCGTTTTTAAAAAAAGGTTGATTTTAAGATTGAATATCTTTTAAATTTGCGAGAAAAATAATTTAAATGTGCAGATACTTCAGATATTTCAGATTTTCACTTTTCAGTCAACATATTCTAAATGATTCTAAATTCTAAAGTAATTGTCAATGTCAATGGCAATAAAAAATACTTTTTTACTTCTGTCATTTCCAAATTAGATTGATTTAAGACAACAAGACGACATTGACGACAAGAAAATTTTAGAAATTAGAAATTTAAGAATATATCAAATGTGAAATGAACTATAATGTAGGATATAAAACAAGGTGAAAGTTGAAAGGTATGAAATGAAGCCTTTATTTGATGGAGTTTGTAAATGCCAGAAATGAGTGGAAAATGCAAATCAAACCTAATTAAAACCAATAATTTGATATACATCATGATATTTTTCTAGGGGGGGG